AAAGGAAACCAGATACTGTGTTCCAACCATAGGGAGGCCTATGCTTGGGTGCTGGGGTGGAGAGTCTAGCTGACTGTTGAACCTCGGCTTCAGGAGCAGCAGTGTGGTTTCCGTCCTGCCCGTTTAACACTGGACCAGCTCTACAATCTGTGCAGGGTGCTCGAGGGTGCTTGGGAGTTTGGCCAACAGGTTTACATTTATTTTATGAAACTGAAGAAGACAATTGACAGTATCCCTCGTGGTGCCCTGTGGGGGGCACTCCAGGAGAACAGAGTCGGGGGCCCTTTAGTAGGGGCCATCGGGTCTCTGTACAAACAGAGCAGGAGTTCAGTCTGCATCACCAGCATTAAGTCAGACTTGTTTCCAATGCATGTTAGACTCCAACAGTGCTTTCCTCTGTCCCCGGTCTTGTTCATAACCTTTATGGACAAAATTTCTAGGTGCAGCCAGGGGACAGAGAGGGTGTGATTTGTGAACCAGCAGATTTTGTCCCTGCTTTTTGTGGCTCTGCTGGCTTCGTGCTCCCAAGACCTACAGCATGCACTGGGATGGTTTTTAGCCTAGCGTGACGTGGCTGGGATCAGAATCAGCTCCTCCGAGTTTGAGTCTATGGTTCTCTACTGAAAAAAAAAGTGGCTTGTCTCTTTCAGGAAGGAGGAATGTTGCTGTCTCAAGTGGAGGAGTTTAAATATCTTGGGGTCCTGTTTACGAATAAGGGCAGAATGGATGGAAGATTGATAGACGGATCACTGGTCTGGTGTGGTGATAAGAGAGCTGAGCAGAAAGGCAAAGCGCTAGATTTACCAGTTTGTCTACTTCCTACCTTCACATATGGTTATGAAATCTAGATCATTACCAAAATAAAAGCAGCAAAAATTTGCTTTCTATGCGGGCTGGATGGGCTCTCTCTTAGAGATAAGATGTGGAGCTCAATCATTTGGGAGGGGCTCGGAGGAGAGCTGCTTTTCCTCCACATCGAGAGGAGTCACCTGAGGTGGGTCTGACATCTCTGTCCTCTCGAGACCTCCCTCGTGAGGTGTTCCAAGCACATCCCACTGGGAGGAGGCCCAGGGGAAGACCCAGGACACACTAGATTATATTTCTTGTCTGATCTCGACCAACAGAGCTGGACCAGGTGTCTGAAGAGAGAGAAGTCAGGGAGTCCCGGCTGAGACTGCTGCCAAAGTGAACTGGAAGCACAAATGTATAGAGACCCTCCATCCAAATGTAGAGAGACATGTATGAATAGCAGTGTCCATTATGCTTATTTATTTTTAATGCATACAGCACTTCATTGGCCCCATTCATCCACTAACCGAGGCAGACAAACAAAAAAAATAGCTATGTTATGATTTCTTTCTTATCTTTAATTATCTTCAATTAATTGGGAACAAGTGACTATATAATTAAGATGCTTTTATCTTTGTGTTAATAGCAATAGGTATGACTTATTTTATTCCAGTTTTGGTTCCTTTCATGACTCAGCTCGAACTAAAAACAGAGTGTGTAATTGGCCTGCTTTATAGCATCTATTTATTTATTTTTCCTTGCATTATGTACTACATGGTGAAAAAACGAGAAACTATGCTCAGAGCAAAGAATAAAAACATATCTGAGTTTAAGTAATTTAACGGTCATCACAGTCAGATAAGACAAAATCTTAAAATCTCTACCTTTTCTTTGTCCTGCTTTGGGCTGAATAGGTCAGGCATGCTTCTGTTAGAGTTGGCTGATCACAAACTGCTTACTTCCACAGATCCAGGGATATTTCTCAAACAAGGTCACAGTTGTTTCTCTTGGATTTCCATTGCCTCCCAAGGAGAGCAGCTCCGCTTTTATAAGATGGAAACATGCAGTCAAATAAAATCCATTAATAAATCATGAGAAAAGAGGCATTAAAGTTTAAAAGAGAGAGTGACGGTGAAAACTGGAGATCAGGGCAATTCCTCCCCATACCCCTCCTCCAGTCACACAAATAAACCTGAAGACATACAGAATGATACAATAATGCTGTAGTTAAAAAGTAACATGGATAATGTGCCCTTTCCACCCTCCTGGTATAGTTATACACCTCAAATCATTGAAAAGTCAAGAAAAAGATGGAACTATTTTAACAATATTGGTTGCTCAATATGGAATTACAAAAGAATGGCAATACAGCTTTTTATCACAAACTCTATGACACGTGTGATCAAGATCATTTATATTATATCATTTTGTCTATACCTTTTGTTTTTTAAACTAAGCAAGATACCCTATTTTTGTTGACAAAAGAAACATTCTTCTACAAGAGGTATCTTTTTCCATGTAAATGGTGTCGGTAAATGCAGTCAAAATATGCTGAGCTTTACACTCTTTCTTTATGGTAACAGCCACTTAACTGACTTAGGGGGTGACATGAAATGTTTGTTGAAGTGAATTGTAAAAACACTGAGGATATTAAAAGGCCTGATCTGTGGTTTGGACCATATTTCCAAGCCGGAGACAGTCTCAGAATATTCAGAAAATGTTAGATATAGATCCATGATCATGCTGAAGCTGTAGGCTGAGGGATTCCAATACGAAAAAGTATATCTAAGATGAGCTCATCACCTGAGCTATCATATGAGCTACAGACTTAGAAATAATGCAGCTAACTACAATATTGTTTTATATGTATGAACTGTACAGTTCTATTTTCTCCAGATTTTGTGCACAGATCTGTACCTTTTGGCATGGGCACGTTGAAATTAAATCCTGCTTTTGTTCAAGAAGCCTGTCTCAACAAAGTCCTATCTCGGGTCTACATACAAGCCAGTGAGAATCCAAACAAACGCTCTGTATGCATGACAACATGCTTAAGAACCCATAAAGGAGTCCTTTGTTTGCATTACCTTTGGCCAGTGCTGCCTTTAGAAATGCAGTTAAATAGTGACTAGCATTGAAAATGGCTCATATCCTTCAAATTGTAACCCACTTTTAAAGGTTTCCTATTAGGAAATCAGTGAACTTGAGTCATTATACATCTCCCGCCTCATCTTATCCCACATAGATGTAAAACAAATCAGAAGTTTTTTGATGGAATAGAATAGAAATACCTTTATTGTCTCACAGTGCAGACACTTATAAAAGGATTATGGGTTATGGAAAGACAGTGTTTAAAATTAAAACTGCACGGTGGAAGAAAAAAATTAATTTCTTAAAAGCAAACTCTTATTTATTATTATTGCAAACAAACAAAATAATAACACAAAGAAACCTATAGATAAGGTTTTTTTTTTTCTTTGCTACCTTTGCTTTATAACACATGGGATTTGACATCTTACTGTTATTCAGCAGGTCTTTAAACCTTTTTAGGGCAAGGTTCCGTTTTTAATCACTTACATCCCCCTTAAAAATGAAGTCCCTGCCATCTCTCAGTGAGGTCTAGAAGCACAAGATCTATATCCAGCTATTCAGCAAAGATACTGCTACATGTCTGCACATCTTATTTTGGCATTTGACCAAGTAGATGAGCCCTTGAAGGATAAAATTCTGTCAATTAAGTTAAAAACAAGTTAAGAAAAAAAGGTAAAAAGCTAACTGAAATGTTAAAAAGTAAAGTTAATAAGTTAATAAGCCTTGTTAAAAATTATTTGTAGGTTTATAAACTAAACAATGTAAATGCCAGTATCAGCATTAATGCCTCTAAGGTAATGTTGTTCCAAAAATAACAAAACAAATGTGTTTCTTTCACTCTCAGAGTGTTTTTCATGAATTTCTTATAGAAGCACTTTTGTTATTTTTCTTAATATATTCTGACAAGTTGACGTTTGTTGTTATTACATTGACATTCATTTTTACCATCAAAATATCCATATTTTTTTTATGTTACAAAGGTAATAAGGTTTTGTCCTGGATTCCAATAACACTGGCATGAAATTTTGATTTTCAAAGTATTTCATTTAGTGCCCTACAAAGGGTTAACGGTTCCCAAAAAATGATGCTATAATTTATCGGACTGTGCAGAAAAATCTACGTTTTGTATCTTATTTATTTGTGAATGTGTTTATTTTTATAATTCTAGATAAGCTGCTGGTAATTATCCCCTTCTCTTTTTTTTATGTTTTACGGTAGCGTGACATGAACCGGAAGTCGGTCGGGCTATTTCCTTGGTAACAAGAAGCTTGCTTGGAGATGCCTGTTTAACTTGTAGCTAGGTATTCCTTCGAGGGAATTTCATGAATTGTGATGAAACGGCGCTTGTCTGTGACAGCAACGGACGAGAAAATTGAACCGGGAAGCTAACGTTGTTTTTGCGGCTAACTGAATCGGCTAATTCCGTTCAGCGCGCCATGAATCTGCTAGCCAAATGAGTTTTAGCTGTTTGTGTTCACTTTGCGTCCTCCTAGTCCTGTTTGGACGTTTAGCGCTCCCTGCCACAGAGTTAGGGGTCACTTCTTCTCTCAACTCCACCCCAACATATGGGGTTTCTTTCGGGTCTCCTACCCCACCTCCGGGTGTTACTGGGACCCCGGAGGATGCCACGCAGCTATCCGCGTCAGAGACACCGACTGCGGTCACAGAAACTCGGTCTCCTACCACCGAACAGACCGTGGTGTCTACTGAGGGTAACTTATTTATTATAAAGCTAGATCTTTAAGTCTTTATTTTTATTTTACTTTATTTTAGACATGATTATTATTATCTCAGGGCTGCCAACTTCTCTCCAAACCGTGGGGTGAGATTTTGAAATATATTGGACAGGAAACCCTGTTAGATGAGGACAGGTGCAGCTATAGGTTGGAGGTTTCCAGAGGATTTAACTGAAACAAAATGGGAAAATGTGGGATTTTTATAGCACAGTAAATGTTACTGAATAACAACAAGTAACCCATAGTTATGTGGAACATTTTTATCACAATATACATCATTTTCTATAATCTGGTGATTTTTAGAGAATTGAAGTACAGCAGAATGGGTCTTACTAAAATATTTGCATCTTAAAAATACTGTAAACTAAGAATTTCACAACTTTGTTTATTAATTATTCTCTGCAGGTTAAGTAAAATAATCAACGGGAAACTAATAAGTCATCACTGGATTACTGGCACTGATACAGGAACCAGAGCAATCGAATCTCATGCAAACTACTCTCTGTATGAATATTTGGTAATAAGCTAAGGATTAAAAAGCGTAATTCATTATGTTAATAGTTTTTCTTACAATCGACAAAACAGCTAAACAATTCAGATCCTCTAGGAGACTGTAGATTTTAGAAAAACTCACCATGACACAAGATAGCACTTCTCTGGATGTTTCATTTGGAAAATGTGATGGAAATTAAGTTAACATATTCAATGGACCAAAATAAGGATACATTAATAAGATAAGTAATAATAAAAGAAGAACATCCCTGTGGTTTCTCCTCTATGAATCCTGGATAACTGAGTTGTTCTGCACATCCTCTCTGGATGTGGTTGGTCTTTTCTTGGGTGGCTGATCTTTTTAAAAAAATAAAATGCAATGGTTCTTTTTCTTTTTGTGGAGCTTCTATGGGTTTCAGAGGCAAACCTGAACTCAAGTACTAGATTGCTTAAAATCTTCAATAATTTACAAAAAGAATTATCCTAGTGCAGATGAGATAAGATAAAAAGTTTTTCAACACTTGACTCCAAATTCTAGAAAGGCATAATAATAATATTTTGTGGTCCCTTTATATATTTAAATTCATGTATTTTTATTTTGGGCCAGAAATATTACGGTAATAAAACCCGTGTCTCTTTGTGATCCTGCAATAATCATTTCTGTCTTCATAATTCATTCTAAAAATTCATAATATTTAGGGACCAAACCATTAATACTGATAAATCATATGATTTTATTTAGTAGGACTCATGTTATGTATTTTTTAATTTTTTTAGCCTGTCTCTGTGATCTGACGCCTGACTTCTGCGATCTTGGTTGCTGCTGCGACACAGCTGATTGTGATGTTGCCAACCTCACCACAGTCTTCACTGGCTGTCCGAAAAAAGATGTGTATGTTTTCTCCTAACGCTCTCTCTTTATATCACATACTTCCTTTAATTTGTTTTAAAAACCCTTTACTATGAACCAGGAGCGGAGTTTGCATTGAGAAATGGCTGATGTTCAGAGCCAACGTGAATTCATCACGGGTCACAGTGACTGACACCTTGTTTTGTATCCAGGTGGAAGGTAAATAATGAATGTTGATCTTTTCTTTAAACATGCTGAACTGCTGTTTCACATATTCGTGTTTCTGCCTTGTAGCAGCTGATGCACCCAGGTCTCCTCCTGCTCCGACTCACTTCCTACCAGTAGGTGATTCCTATGATTTCTCACCTCCAGGACAAGCGATTGCAAGACACAGCAGAGATTTTTACAGGGTAAACACCTATTGCACACTCACTAAACTTTAGAGTTACTTGTAGTGAATATGGGGTTTTGTTTTTTGATTAAAATACTTTTCTAGGTTGATGATGTTATCCAGACGTTTTTCTCCAAATCTTCTGTTCGAGGGCTGCTCCGTCAGCCGTCTCCAGGCGTTGCATCTGCCTTCTGCTTCAGCCGTAACCCTGCAAGTAGGTTTAAACTACACAGAAATTTAAATTGTGGAGTCCCAAATAGAACCAGGGATTTCCCAAACTAGACTTAGTCCCACACATTAATTTATCTTAGGCTTTGCCTCCAGAATGGGGAGCGGCGGCCTAGTGGTTTGGGCATAGGGCGTGGAATCCTGAGGTTCTGAGTTTGAGCCCCACTCCCACAGACTGTCACTCTGGGTCCCTGAGCAAAGACCCTGTGCGCCGGGTGCCGCACAATGGCAGCCCACTGCTCCCCAAGGGGATGGGTTAAATGCAGAGAGTTCATTTTGTTGCTCTGTGCTTGTGACAGTGTAATGTCAATAAAAAGCTGGGGAGAAAAAAAAGAATTAACCAGTTTGGTGGTTATTCCTGCTGTGGAAAATGTATTGTAAAAGGTCCAGTAAAAGATGTCTGCATTTCTTAAATTCAGTTACTTGTTCTTTGGTTTTAATTTAAGTCTGTTTTGTGATTGCCATTCCCCCGATGACTGTGAGTTTGCACAGGATTGTTTGGCTTTTATATTTGCAAACTAATCTGAAGGATTCAGCTTCTTGAACAAAAGTACAGTTTTGATGTCAAGGGCCCTGGAGGTGCCTTGTAAAGTATCCACCTCAGACCGGCTCTCTTCCACTTCTTTATATCCTCCTCTTCCTCAGAGTTTCTGAGATCTTCGTCGCTGTCTTGTACCCGCATGGTGACCTCTGATTCATGCACCACTGACCCAAACCTCAGAGCCAGCTCTTACTTTTCAAACATGAATCTCATAAAGGTAAGTGAGTCAGTTCTGCTAAACTGCTTTAGAAACATCCCTGCCGGTCGTAAACTCAAAGCAAGGCTGAGAAAACCTTTTTTTTATTGTTACAGGTTCCAACGGCTGCGGCTGCAATTCCATCTGATCTTTTGGTACGTTTCTTACCACAGTAAAGAAATACCTGACTGTTTTTATGCTCTTGGTATTAAGAACATAAAATAGAAAAATTTGCATTTTCAAAGGACATTAATATACACACAGATTCAGTGGTGAAGGATTGCATTCAGGCCGTATTTTTATTAAGGCTGACCTTATGCTTTTTTCAGATCCCAGTAACCCCGCTCTCTGACTGGCCTGCACCAGTCAATAGAAACGGCTCCTGTATGAATGTGGTGAAAAACGTGAGGAACCCCACTAATCTGTTTTAGTGTATGTTAGAGCTTCAGACTCATCTGGGCTTTTTTTTTCTGCAGGTAGAGTTTACTGTTTATTTCACGGCTAGAGGGGAGATAACAAATGGAATAATCAACATAAAATTGGCCGACGTGGTTCTGGACCAGCTGGTGCTCCAGACGCACTCTGTACAATATCAGGTAGGTTCCAGCTCAGCAGAATAATTATCAATCCTTGGAGGAATTAATAAATTAATGAATGGCTTTATTTCAAACATAGAAAGACATAAAAGAATAGAGAAACAACAAGAATATAAAGAATTGTTAATATGCACAAACAGGGAATTCCAGAATTAAATGCATTTTTAGGTCAAAGGGGAGGAAGAAGAAACCTTGGGGATTCCAAGTTCCATCCATCCGTAGCACAATATGTGCGACTATTTAAATATTAGATAATGAAATGAAAGGTAAATGTGGCCACAGTCAAAACCACAAAGCTCCATAAGCACATGGGATGTCTGTTCTGAATCTGTTACAGCTTGCCACACCCAGACCAACTCCGGCAGAACCAGCGCCCCCTACTGGACTCAGACTGGGATCTGCTCTTATCGGCCGTTTTAATGGAGAGCTGCAAACTGTATCCTCAAAGGCAAAGTTACGACTATCTGTCAGGAGCAGAGTTTTGATTTCTGTCACAACCTTTGAAGCAGAAATGTGTCACTTTTCCTTGATGGTGAATTAGTTGACATCACTTGGCGTTTCAGAGGGTGGGGAGTGTTCCTCAGATCCCAGCACACGATTGCCTGTCCTCTTTACACACAACACAATCACTGGCTGCACATTAAGGTGAGTTTGTCGTATCACGATTGTCTTTGTGGGATTTCTAATAATACATTTCTTGGACTTTTTTATTAAATATACAAGAACATTTAACAAATATCAGGTGGTTCTTATTAAAGTTGGTCTACTGCATATTCTGTCTTTGCTTACAGCAATAAATATAGTCTAAATAATTTAAACATAATTTGTTTGACCAACTTCTAAACAAATCTTAATCTTTGGGTATATGGTTTGGAAAGTTTTTGGAAATTATGCATAACTAAGTTATTTATATACATATTTGGATTTTGAACAGGTTTGTCAATTATTTTTTTTCACTAATTGAAAGCAAACAAAGTTCTACCTTGTAATTGCATTGCTATTACATAAGTAGGAAGATCTAAATTGGCACCGTGGGAACAGGTAAAGGGGCAAACTTGCCCCTACAGCCGAAGCATTTGTCGTAAACAAACAAGAAACCCAACAGCATTACGATATTCTGTTTTCTCTGATAGTCGATGTGTTTCCATCTAGTTCCCCTACTCAGAACTGTACTGAGCTTCGATCGCATATTTATGAGACGCTACGAGGATCCGCTGCTCCCGATGTGATCGCCATGAACTCAGGCTCCCAGCCAGACTGGACGCGAGTCATCACACAGGAGTGTCCGATCAATCCACAGGTACAGGTATGATTTAAACCAAACATGTCAACACCACAGTTATGATTTGCACCTGTATACTTGAGCCTGAGTAAAAGATCAAATCACTGTTTAAGAATAAATGGGTAATATTTATAGAGCGTTGCAAATAAAAAATAGGACCGTACAGCGAGATTTGAATTGTATAGTTTAGGTTGCAGCATATTCATCGGTTAAAATGGCCTGGTCATAGTCCAGAGCTGAATTGAATGGGAATCTGTGGCTGGACAGGAAAATAGTTCACAGGCACTCTTTGTTTAATTTAATTTACTATTTTTCAAGAAAATTAAAAAGCTAAAATTCTAAGCTCTAGACAGGTAAAGCTGGAAGAGAAAGGTTTTCAGATAGTAAATCATGTTTTTTCTTTTTTTTTATTCCTTTCACAGTAGATTTGTGCACAACTTTCTGTTTGGCTGTTAGTAAAATCTTGATGCAGTGCAGGAACGTTTGGGTTAGTCTGGCTTATCTGCTTTGTTTTTCTTTCTTACAGGAGTCAGGTGACTCAGGCTGCACCATCCCACACTCTCTCTTCATCCAGGTACTGTGGGCTCGCCAGGGATTCATTGAACATCCTCAGAACTTCATCCTGGGAGCCAAATTTCTCTTCCATTGTCAAAACGTTCAGGTACAGAAACATGAAGTTACTCTAAAAACACTGGCAAATACCTAGTTTTAGATCATTTTGGTTATTGGCGGTATCTGTGTGTATTTTCCAGGTTCCTTTATCATCTCCTCTCACCCTGATGGCTAAAACTGTGTTTGTGGAAACCACAATTTACCCAGAACCCCCCAGGGGGGTCCCTCAGCCTCACTGGAGGTTTCCATTTGGCTTCTTTACCAGAGGAGCTGCGGAGCTGGATGGCCATGTGGTTACAGGCAGCAGCGGTGCTCAGAGGGTCTCATTGGGTTTGATGCTGTTGTTAGTGGGGTTAACATTCTTCAAAACAAAAACTTTGACGTAGCAAATAGTGAAATTTATGTATAAATGTTTTATTTTGCAGCTATTTTATACTATAAACAGTACACTGTTTTAAATAATAAAAGGGTCAAAGTCTTTAAACAAGGAATTTTTTGCCTTTTTTCTGGATGACTCTCATTGAGGTAAAGATGCATTTCTGGTGCATAGATCCTCCTCATGATCCGTTTGCTTCCTGTTCGTCGTCCTCGCCTCTTTTCCTGTAAACTGTACATAGTTGAAAAGTGTGACGAGTGCAGCAGGAGTCATGCCTTCCAGACGGGTAGCAGCACCCAGCTATGGGTGGACAGAGGAAAAGTTTGCAAAAAGATTAGCATCTTTATGTCACAAATACACAAAACAAAAGGGAATTTTCAGTCCTGATTGCAGACTTACAGTGCTGGGTCGAAACCTGTCCAGGATTTCCCTGACTTCCTGAGAGAGAGACACCGGTAGAGTGAAATAGTCGATGTTCTGTGGCAGAGTCATGTTCTCCTCCTTTTGAATTCTCTCTATCTCTCTTTTGCTCTGGTCACAGTGAGGCTTGTACACAGCTGCATGACAGACAGACAGTTAGGCTTTAGTTCGGGATCTTTTAAGAGGCTTTACACATTTAAGCAAGAAACAGCAGCTTAGTTTATCAAAATAAATTAAGAAAAAAAAAAGTTCAGATAAAAGTTGGGGGAATTAAAATCTTAAGGTATCCCATAGCCCTCTGAATTTTTGATGTAAAACGCCAGAAATCGGGTTTTACCCTCTATTTTGAGTCTCTCTGAGAACTCCATGTACTCTGAAAGGTTCTCGGGAAAGACAGAGGCCAACATTTCAAAAGACACATCCTTGTACTGCAGCAAATCCATCCCGCTGGAAAAAGAAGAAAAAAAAACATAAACCAGGGATATTATTTGTTCTCTGAAGCATTTAGGGCGCGGTTCAACTGATGGGCTCACCTCAGCGAGCTGTTCTTGCTCTCACTCACACTAATCCCAGGTAACATCCTCCTCCATCTGGTTGTGGACATGGTGAGAGCCTGAAGGGAGGATATTGCATCTTGGAGACCTCTCTTCACTCTTACAGCCTCGTTGTGACGCACAGATGACACACATCCTAACTCATATCCTGATGGAGACGAAGCAGAGCAGGCAGTATAGACCCAGCACCTTATCAGAAACAACACATCAGACATAAGTGCTACCTTTCATTGTGAGGCGGAGGTCAGCGTTGTCTGGTCTTAGAGAAGTGCGAAATTCAGCCCGGCTGGTGAACATGCGGTAAGGCTCTTTAACTCCTCGGCTCACCAGATCATCGATTAGCACGCCGATATAGCTCTCAGTTCGAGACAACCCAACCAGAGGCAGAGACAGTGCCCAGCGGGCAGCGTTCAGCCCCGCCCACAAACCCTGTGCACATAAAGATTGATTTTCCTCATGGTTTACTGTTAACAGCTCCAGACCTGACTGTAAGATCCTGCAGCACTAAAGAGGTTAGTGGCACTGAAGGATCAATCCCTGACATGCTTTCTGTCTATTAGGAACCAGAACTGATTTTAGTCCTCGCAGATGATTTTAGAATTAATCATTTAAATAGATCAGCTTTTTTTTATATATATTTATAAACATTTTTAAATAGCAAAAGCAGAATCCCAACTTGGTGGTTAGCATTTATTAAAAAAAATTTAAAAGCTCTAATTGAAATGAAAGTTAAACCATTAGAGACGGGTGTACGGTAAACAATTTCTTTTAATATTTTTTTTTCACAATTCATTCACCTTTTACTCTTTTGATCATCTAATGAGAGAATCCATCTGCTTTTCCTATCAGAAATGAATATTTAGTTTGACAAAAATCTGCTAGAGCCATGAGTATTTATGGGCTTAACTGTAAATTCAGATATGAAAAAGATTTTTCCATAAAGGGTTTAGGAGAAAAAAAATAAAGGCTTATGGGGCCTAATAAGGTGAATGTAAAGTTATTCAACATTTATTTAGATTCTTAACCGAACGTACTTGTTATTCTGATCAGTAGAATATTGTTCTTTACTGTTAATAATAGTCCAGTTTGTTTCTAGTGTTTCTTGCAACAAAAATGCCTGTAAAAGTGTATATTACACTGGTTAAAAATCAATATACTCTCTGATTAAATTAGTAGTTCTTGGTGATTTTATTTTAGAGTTTTTTTTGGGGATGACATGTTTTTATCTCTAGTGGAATATAAATGATAGCAGGACCAGAACTTAAAATAAAGAGTCTGGAAAAGAAATAATGCTCATCAGATTTATAATAGGACTGTAAAATACATGATTTACTTAATAATTATAATGAAGACTATAGCGCTAATACAGGTGGCAGCAGAATAGAGAGGGTTAAATACCAATGCATCCCCTTTATATTTAAATAAAATATTTCAAGTGATCTAAATATATATTTAAGGAGCTTTTGTCATTGGAATGAAGTGCAGTAATACATTATCAGAATTTGGTATTAAATGAATCTGATAGCCTATATTAGTTCATATTTACTCCAAGCAGTTCCAGGCAATGCATTTCTGAGGGTTTGCTGTATTTACTCAGCTGCATCCATCAACAGCCTGAGGAAATTACCTGTGCAGCAGCCTCTTCGTATCCCGTCGTCCCGTTAATCTGACCGGCCAGAAAAAGCCCCTGAGTATTTTTCACCTGCAGCGCCGGACTGAGCTGGGTGGGACACACATAGTCATACTGCACACCATACCCTGCAGAGGCACAAAACAGCAGATATGGAAGCTAAGAAAAACAAGCATTAGGGACTGATGAGCTCTACACTCTGGAAGAGGTATTGCACCTGGGGTGTGGATCTCAGCTCGGTGCATGGCAGGGATTTCCCTAATAAGTCGGAGCTGCACGTCAGGAGGCATGGTCATGGAAAGACCCTGTGGGTACAAAAGATCAGAATTCACCCCCTCGGGCTCCAACCACACCTGATGACTTCTTCCTGGAAAGCGCAGCACTTTCGATTCTATGGAGGGGCAGTATCTATAAGAGAAAAGACCCACATTAATGTCCCAAACATGGATCACACAGTACAACTTTTATCCCCCTGCACACAGCCTCGAGAAAGTATTCATACCCTTTCAACTTTTCCCCATTTCGTCTCATATAGACACACAAACAACTAATTGTCACTTCCTAACTCTGCAAAAGTAAAGTCATACGATATCCTCTTAAAGTAGGGCTGATTTCCAGCAATTTTGAAATGCATTTCTGCTTCCATACTGCTTAATTAAATAATTAAATTAGGAGGACTTTGTAGGAATTGACTGCATGCAAATGACCAAATTTGGTCATTTTTTTTTAGCTCTGCTGGAGCAGGAACACAGTCCTCACTGTAAAACATGGAGGTGGGAAGTTGTATGGAGATACTCTGACATCCTAAGCAAAATGTGTTGAAAAAAGGAGTAAGAATACTTCTGGCAAGGTGCTTAAAATCTGCAGATACCTGGGACCTTTGGTGTCTTGCTGTATGTGACAGTTAAGATGAAGACTCTCCCTCACCACTCTCTCCACACCTGGAGTTGTGTAGGTTAGGTAGCAAGGAAGCTGCTCTTCAGGCTAGAAAGTTAAAGCATTTACAGGGGTTATAAAATTAATTAATGCTGATTGAAGAATTAGTGATGGACCAGCCAAGTCAGAACGTCTTATAGATTTGACCTTGCAGCGTGTGTGAGTATTCATGAAGCTAAACGGTGTCGGGTTGCTGTCGGGCGGGTGAAGCTTGGCCAGGGAGAGGTCCACTGAATCCTTTAAAATTCTGGGTGGGGTTCCGGTCCTTAGCCTTCCAACCCTCAGACCCAGCCTCTCCCTCAGCGTTTGGGACAGACCAGAACTTGACGGAGCATCTCCGATCCGGCCTCCAGGGGATGTGGTTTGGCCCATGAAGAGTGAGCCGGACAAAAAAGTACCCGTGGTGAGGATCACAGACGAGGCAGAGATCGGATGGCTGCTATTGGCTGACATAGGAAGGAATAAAAAAAGCATGGTGACCTAATATGATCAAATTATCCATTTTTCATGTTAGAATCAGGCCATCGATTTGCACAATTCTCATTTCTATTTAGGACATTTCTAAATGACAAATATGACTGTCCACTATGAATTTAGAAGATTGTGTTCAAACAGGTTGAATTTTCTCACTTTATAAAATATATGAAAATATGCAGACAAATGGTTAAACTTGTGATTATTTGAGGCTGCAAATATTCCAAGGATGCAAAGTTGTGTATCCAAAGATGGTTTGTACGTTTACTACATTATTAATCATTTAAAACTGACTAAAGTGTGTAAATTAATTCTAATAGCTACAATCTGATATATACCTAAACGTATCCCAGTAACGCTGTGGACCCCAGGTTCTTCAGGATTTGGATCCGTCACCAGAAGCTCCTCCACTGAGCCTTCCAGCACCGTCAGCCTGGGAGTAGACAGCAGCTCTGCCTGAAGGACCAATAGTCACTGAAGGTTTTAATATATCTTAAAACAGGAATATTTACCTGATTGTAGCGTACCTGAATGAACTCCCGGTAGCGCTGGCGATCCAGCTGAGCTCTCGGCCCCCACACAGCGGGCCCTTTTCTACGATTCAGGATGGAGAAATGAATCCCTGCCCAGTCCCCAGCTCTGCCACAGAGCCCATCCAGAGCATCTATCTCCTTTACCAGATGGCCCTTGCCTACTCCTCCCAGAGATGGATTACAGGACAGGGCGCCTGTGAGGAGGTCAACAAAATCAGCTTCGCCATGCCCCGGTCACAATGTTCACCCAGCGTCAACAAACCTCACCGATTGTTTGTATTTTCTGTGTGACAAGGAGGGTCTCCGCGCCAGCCCGGGCTGCTGCAGCCGCCGCCTCTGTTCCGGCGTGACCTCCACCCACAACGATGACATCATATAGCTGTCTGGAGACGTGACTGGCCCTCTTGGTTACCAGAAACCAGATGCTCTGCACTGGCGATAGCTTCCTTGTCAACATGTGAGGCATGTACCTGTGAAAGAGTTGGAAGTTTAAATGCAATAAAAAGAAATATGTCTCCAAAAAAACATTTTGCACATTAACTGCATTAGATCTGAGAGTAGACAGTTTTTATGTTTAGCTTTTTTTGTACAATATTTTGCTGATGAAGTGGCCTCCTAAAGCAAAACAGGATAGTGTTTAAAGACTATCTGATTAGATGGGGAAACCATTACAAAAATTCCTTTTTTTTTTCAGATAATAAGAATTGATTTTTACAATAGCGTCCATAGATAAAGTAGGGAATGTACAAAATGCTTTATGCAAAAAAGATTGGATAAATAACTAAATCCTTCAAAAAAAAGAGCATTTACTTTTTTCTCAATTACTTTAGAGTGGAAGTGTTGAACCAAAGTTTAAGCTTGACATGTTACCAAATAAAATGCAAATGATACAAAATTGCAGATATAGGTAGTCAATTTTTATATTTTGTCGTTTAAAAATCCAGTTTATTATCAAACACTGAGGGTACTTACAGTTAGCCTACCAGAGGATAAATTTGTTATCAAGCTTATTTTCTCAGGTGATTCCAACAGAAACTAAGACTTTAGCATTAAAGGTTTTATAGAATATTGGGAAACTAGAGCTATGTTACACAAATGCACTTTACGGAGGCCGCCATATTGTTTGGGTCTCAAGACCGTAATATCAGCCTTATAGACGCAAGCAGATTTTTTTTTTGTATGCGTGTCTAAGGCTCACGTGTCAGTTCTAAGCTGGCATGGATCATTATTATTTGAAATCTATGTAGATTTATTCTGAAAGTTAAATAAATAAAGTTATAAAGGCTCACTTTATTAGTTTAAAAGTAGAGAGCGTCTGTAGAGCTGCCCCTTAACAAGTTAATTATTAGGTTGTAAATAGATTTTGACATGAGGGTTTTGCCACGTGTTTATTAGGATAAATTAATGTTTAGGTCAGCTACCTATACACCTGCGTGGATAAGCGCGTGGATTATTGAAGCAGTTTTTCATTTACCGGTACGTGAAAAATGCACGTCAACGCCCCCTCCCCCTTCCAGCCGGTTTCCACTCAGCCGCGCGCGGATTGAGTCAAGTGAGCCTACCGAAAGGTGGTGTTGACCGACCGCAGCAGGTTTTCCAACGAGAAACCTGAACAAAAATTCAACCTTCTGAGGCGACTGACAGTAACGTCGAGCTCTTAGTTTGTAACGGAAGAGCCAGCGGAGCCGAAGTTGAGGCGACAGGACAGAGGGAAGAAAGTAAATCCCGGAGGGAAAGCTTCCGAAGTGAGCCTGAGGATCAAAGCTAATGCTAACATAGCCCGCTAAATAATTACGTGAAAGCTGTTATTCTTTAAGCATTTGTGTCTGTTTTTTTACGTGACTCCAAAGGTTAACACAATAGTTAGCAACGGGTATTTTTATATCAGATATATGGTTGAATTAATTTAACTTTCTAAAAGGTTTACATCAACACGGTAGGCCACAGGCGACTGGTGTTGAGTTGCTACAGTGGCCGGGGTGTTTTTTTTTGTTTTTTTTGAGGTTACCCCGGCTCTTCACGCTGTAGGCAGGTGATATTGCTAAAGATAGTTGGCTTTACACCAGCCTCTTTTCGGGAGAGTTCAATTTTATTAAGTTAGCTCAAGCTTGGTACTGTCTAAGGCTTGTGCTTCGCAATGCTGAAACCCCAGCAGCAATCCGGCTCAGGCGGGAGAAAGGCGACTAACGGAACACCGGGGCCCGGCGGTATGTCTTCCCCAGTCAGCGGCATCAACAGCGGCGGCCGGACACCGGCTGGAAGGTGAGCGGGCGGGGACTCTCTGAGTAGGACAGACCGAGGATTGTCCCGTGCGAGCAAGGCCTACCGGTTAAAGCACCCTGCTTGTAGAGGGGCGTGGCTTGGTACTGGAATTTCAGTTTTGGCCAATAAGATTAGTTTGATATTGATGGGCAGAATGTCTTGACCAATTAAAATCAGTTTGTCTTACCTAGCCAAATCAGTGAGGTGGGACCAAGATGGTGAAAACAAAGCAGCATCAAGGCTATAAAGTTTAGCTGGCCTGTCAATGTTGAAAACGCCACTTGTCCTTTCAAAATGTAATTTTTGTTTTAATTTTTTGTAGTAAGAAGGCCTTTAATAACATAAAAAAAACTATAGCCTATGTGAGCCATGTTTTTAGATGTCTGTTGGCTAAAGTCTTTGTAGCTACGTCTTTGTTTTGTAACCTTGTGTAACTAATGGCAGCCACTTGAATTTGATTGTTTATTTTTATTCTGACTACACCTTTGCACCTGGATCAATTCTGATTATTCTGTTAAGTGTTTAAACTTCTTTTAATTATTTGAATCTTTATTTTAATGGCGTCAACGTCAGTGTTTAATAAGCTGTATCTTAAGAAAATGTATTTAAAATTAAATGGCTTTTAAGAAAGCTTTCAAAAGATTCAAAAATGGATTTTATTTGATGGCTACATCTCTACTAATTTGAGGCTTCTAACGGATTTTATCAAACAACACTCTTGGTCATTATTTTCTGACCAAGAAAAACAAAGAAATCAAAAGAGGAAACCAATGATCTTTAGTTGTTGATCTGTTTATTTTCAGTGGACGGCCTCTTTTTGCTCCCTAAAAGTAATGTTTTATTCCAATATATTATTTCCCCTTTAACAAAAATACCAAAGATTATTCTGTCTTGAAAAAGAAAGTCAGCATTTTTCTAAAAATGGAAAATGAAAGTTAGATTGTGAAAATGGTGGATCAGATAAAGAAAATCTTATAGAAGGCACACCTTGCCTAAGCTAATTAGGCTTGGACTTTAGTATCAAACTGGTGGGTTTTTGGAATACAGGTATTATTTCAAAAATATTTGTTTCTTTAAACATTTCAGTTAAGTAAAACACTGTTTTGCTAAATCAAAGACGGCGAAACGCCTCATCTACAGCTTTATTTTTGATTAACTTTAAAATAACAGATGATATTTGGGGAATGTTAACTTAATCATTTTAATAGAAACTGTTGGAATGTGAACCTACAAGAGCGAATAAACATGGGGGAAGGACACAGCCGGTAACATGACCATCAATCAAGCGGTTGGCTGGAAGTCAGACTCTGATTCTAACATAACTACTGTTATTCTTATCGTTAAAACATCAACACAAAGCCTTTTTTTATTTTTTTCAAATTGTTTTGCCTCCTAAATTTTTAGAGCAAATGTCGAGTAATTGTCAATAATCTTATTACCTTTTAAAAGTAATATATCTTTTTTCGTTAGAATATATATTTACAATTTTAAAACTACAACAAAGATATTCTACTTTGAACAAAATCATTCACTTTATTTATTTATTTATTTATTTTTTAATTAACATTTTGGTTAAAGCCTAAGAATAAGATACAATTTTTTTCATTTTTTTTTAGGGCCCAGATAAATAGCATATCTTTGTGTATCGGTTGTTTTTAAATGTAAATGGAAAAAATAAACTTCCCATCATACACAAAGCTGCTTTTAAGGGACCGGAGCAGGAAGCTACATTATCACCAGTCAGCTTCATTGTCTGTAACATAAGTTTTCCTCAAATTGTGTTACTAGCATGAATATTGTATCTTGGTTTACCTTTTAATATCAGCACTTTAATTCTGACAAATTCCTACATTTAGGTATTAAAAAAAGGGGGTGTGGTGTATGGAAAAACTCAGCTGTGCAGTTTCCTTTAATCTTTTTTAATCTTGTTTCTTGCAGGAATAGGTCTTCTGCAAAGCCATCATTTCAGTCCTCTCCTGTAAGTATCTGTCTGTCTGTTTATCTGTAAATTCAGTCAATGCCAATTGATTTGTTTTTGCTTATTATGTATTGATTATTTTTTCTTGTGTGTGCAGGTGTTTGAGGGTGTATACAACAATGCTAGAATGCTTCACTTCCTCACAGCTGTAGTGGTGAGTCAGTCATTTGGATTTTTGCCTCCGTTGGAGGCATAAACGTCAACGGTGTAACAAAACCTACCTGTTTTTACAACATATTTCCAGGTTAGGGTTGGACAGTGATAAATGCAACTAAAATTAGAACTGAATAAAAATAAAAACATCTGAGCTCTGCCTGTGTATTTTACTACTTAACTAAATACTTTAAAGTGTGTTAAATGACACTTGGAGAAGTTCTCTCCCATATTTATGTGTAATGCAGCTTTTCTAGGGGTGCAGCTGTTAAAGACGAGGAAGCTGCACAATAAAAAAAAAAAAGTTATCATGTGGTGTAATCAAAAAAATAACTTGTCTTACTGGAGTTGGAGGGTCACATTATGGAATAGCAAGCATAAGCAGAACTGGTCTCTAGTATGTGTCCACAGTAACAATGATTCTAACAATTTGATGAATTTTATTTAAAAAAGATTGAATAAAATAAATAAAATAGTGAAAAACTTTTAAATAGCTTTCCTCCAAACCTTTGGTAGTGACATCGTTTTACTTCATGTTAATAGATGATACAAACGGAGACGACTACATGGGATGGTGCTACACTTAAAGATAAAACAGTTTGTGCTTCATTGTACACTAAAATTAAACTAAATATTTTTGTGTGTGTGTGTTAAACAGCTTTTATTCTTTTCCTAAAAGTTTCTACATGTTCATCCTCTAATGTTGTGGGTTTCTGATATTGAGCTGCTTGTACTATGCAGCCAAAGCAAGATTACTGTTGTATCACTAACCTAAATGTTATAACACTCAGAAACCTTTTGGAATCTTGGCAGTAATAAAACATGTCTGTTGACTCTTAGGCAAATACTGATGTTATACTGAGATATGACTGATTAATGTTTAGCTTTGTTATAATAGCGAATATTGCTCAATCAAGCATACTCTTATGTGTCAATGGGTTTAAACAGCTGCCAGAAGGCAGTTTGATATATATTTTTAAGTGGGTTGCTCTTGTATTAAGTTAGTCATTGTTGTTTTGTTTTTGTTTTTTTATTTAAACAAGAAGCTGCTCTATAGATTCACATGCGTTCAAAATATATAAATTTAGTAAAAGATTCAATTTGAAATCAAAATGCTTGTTTCTCAGGGGTCCACATGTGAGTTAAAGGTGAAGAATGGCAGCGTGTTCGAAGGCATATTTAAGACCCTCAGTTCTCGGGTAAGAACCTGAACCTCAATCTCACCTCACAGACACAGATTTTGCCTCAAAACCTCCAGCAGCTATAAATTGGATAATGGTAAAATAAAAGCTGCTTGGATTATCTTGTTAAAACTCCTTTAGCATCTCCTATCTGTCCTAAGATCTCTGCTTCTGTTTCTTAGTGTGAGTTGGCTGTGGATGCTGTACACAAACGTGGGGAGGAAGAGGGGTCAACATCTGCTCCCCCACGTAGGGAGGACATTACAGACACCATGATCTTCAGCCCATCAGATCTGGTTACAATGATCTGCAGAGACGTTGACCTCAACTATGCTACCAGAGGTACAAACGGTTACTTGCTATAATAACAGATTTAATTTTCTCTCAAACCCTCATCAGTTCCAGACAGAAAATACTGCTGTTACATATACATGAACTTTGATGACATTCTAATTGGGTCCAATTTGCTAAAAACTAGCAACTATAACTATTCCGTAAACATCTTCCAGAATATTTGTTCACTTTAGTAATCATAGTTTAGAGGATGGTTTAAAGGGACTGAGAACACTGGAAAAGTTTCCAGCTTGTGTAGGATCTTTGCATATGGTTAAAAGGAGGTTAAAAACGTTGATCCAAGAGCAGATCAGTCAGGGGTCCTAAAGAAAATGTGTATTTTGTTTGGCTAAGTTAAAGTGACTTCATGATGTGTTTTGACTTTCAGATAGCTTCACAGACACAGCCATCAGCTCCAGCCGCATTAATGGAGAACATAAGGAGAAGGTTTTACAGAAATGGGAGGGAGGAGACAGCAACGGGGAAAGTTATGATCTCGAAAATGATGCAGTAAGTCGGTCTTTTATAGCACTTGTCATGAATTAGGAATTCATGCTCTCTGACCAAATACCATTACATATGGATTATTTTACTGCTGCCTTTATTTGTTGCCTTATTTTGTCGATTGCTTGGATTTTTTTCTGCAGTCTAACGGCTGGGATGCCAATGAGATGTTCCGCTACAATGAAGTAAAATATGGAGTCACATCTACATATGATTCCAGTCTCTCCATGTATACGTAAGTTAAATTGTAACTCACAAATAAATGCCAAATAAACTCTTTAAATTAAATAATTTCATTTCAGAATCCCTCTCTCAGCACTGTTTTTACAGTAACCCTTTATTCTAAGTGTTTCAACTCATTTCAGCTTACAGTAACTATTAGTTGTTGATGGGTATTTATAATCAGTCCATTGATTTACATTCTGTTATTTCCATGTCCACACAGTGTTCCCTTAGAGAGAGGCAACTCTGAGGTTTATCGGCAAAGGGAGGCCCGCGCTGCTCGCCTTGCGAGCGAAATCGAATCGAGCCCCCAGTATCGCCATCGCGTCGGCCTCGAAAACGACGAGGGCAAGAGCGAGGAGGAGAAGTTCAGCTCTGTATTGCGGGATGGCAACGATCGTGAGAAGGGTCGGGAGAGCCCCCGCGACAGAGGGAGTGAGAAAGGCAGAGACAGTCCTGGAGCAGGCAGCAGGTTGGATGGACTCCCAAATATTCAGCACATGTATGGTTGTAGTGTATAGGTGTCTGTAAACTACTTCAAAATGTTTCCCTCACAAATAATATCTAAATGTAGATAAGATGACCACATTATTACAAAAAAAAACAAACAAAAAAAGGGTTAAACACGTGAGGTCAAAGTGAATAAAAGCTGAATAATATTTGGGACACATATGAATATTTGAGTGTCATGATAATGACATTGAATTTAATAATTGAATACAAAGGCTGAAAACATTAATTTCTTTTTTTTTTTTTCATTTCAATTGCAAACATTTACATGTCAAGTATCATTTTAACTTTAAAAAAAGTTGTGCTTTAACAGGGACTTTAACCGATTATAAATATGTATAATAGGTATACCGTAAAGATGAATGTGGGATATTATTCCCACATATCCACATATCAGTTGGATGATTTTTGTAACCGCAAATTGTGGTTGTTTCATGCAAATGATCTCAACGATTTGACTTTTGGCAAAAGTTTTTTTAGAATGACAGAAAACGAAACAATTGAATGAAAGTTTGTTTATATTGAAGTTTTATTTCCCAACTCTATTTTTTTTTAACATTGCGAGGGATATGATCTGGAAATCTAACACCCCAACCCCCTCCTAAAGGAGCAGAAAGCCCTCCCCATATACCTCTGTGCATATCCAGGGCAAGCAATATGAAAATGGAGCCTCGTGGCATTAATCCCACAGGAAAGAAAATGTGCTGATGTTGCACAAGGTTAAACATTAAACTGATCAATTTTGCTGCATTACATAGAATTTAAGATAAATACCCTATAGTTCTTCCTCTTCCACAGCTACAAAACAAACATTCCCATCATTTATAGCCCAGCGGTTATTAGAGATGTAGGAGTCTCTGATTCTTGAAGTTGATTTACCTGTTCGCAAGAATCATTATGATCGGATCAATAATACATTTTGATGGGGATATAAATGAACTAACTAAACCCAAATATTCTGGTTTGGGCCAAAATGCTGCATTACCTTGTACAGAATTTCTTACCTATTAAATATTTTTGATGGCCTTCTTGTTTCTCAGAGAGGGAAAGTACATTCCACTACCTCAACGTCAGAGAGAAATGAACCGAGAAAGAGCTGAGAGAGGTCCTGGTGGGCCTCTGCCCCACAGTCGACTCGGCGGAGGCTACAGGCAAAATTCTTCCTCCTCATCCTCACCGAGACCCCCGCTCCCCTCTGCTGCCGGACCCCAACCAGGAGTCTCTTCTTCAGAGAGAAGCAGTCCTCTGTCGAATCGAGGTGGCGCCTACACCACTCACCATTCACAGGGCAGTCCAAGCCCAGGTTCTGGTCCTGCGAGTCCGTACACGCCTGCCTCTCCTGGTGGAACGGCAGCCACCCCAGCCTCTGCTTCTACTGCCACCTCTCCATCCAGCCCCCCTGCCCCTCATGGACATGCTGTTCCTCATTCCCACTCGCTCCCAGTCTCTCTGTCTGACGCTGGCAGGCCTGTGAATGGAGGTAAGAACTGAAGCATTGATTGGATCCCAATCACTGGTTTAAGTGGCTAAATTTGATTGTGTTGCCTCAGTTTCTTCTAGAACGTCTCCTAAAGCCCAAAGACCTCCACAATCAAGTCGGACAAACCGTGCTCCAAACGCACATCCTCAGTCCACAGGTACCAATTAGTAATCAAATAAACAGAACTTAGTTTTTTGACTTTGCTGTTGGTTTTAATAATGTTTTGTCCTTGCAGCCACTCGTTCTCCTAAATCAGGCTCTTCCCAGGACACGCCTTATTTGGACACTTCGTCCGTCTCCCTGCCTGCTCAGAAGACGTCAGGCCCAGCCCCTCTCTTCCCTGTAGATGGTAACGTCACCCATCCAACTGTCACTCTGCTTGGTTCTGCCTGAGAAATTTGCAATTATAACTTTGGACGTCATAATTTGGTCTTGCATTTGATTTATAGATTTCCTGTTTTTTTTTTTGTTTTTTTTTCCTCTGTCTGTGAAACAGCTTGGATGAAAAGATCCAGAAGATTATGTGGAGATTTAATTTATAATTGTTTTTCCTCTGCAGTGAATGAGATCCTTGGTGCAGCTGCTAAAGAACGCTCTGCAGAAAGCCCTGGCAGCACAGAAGACAACAAAAGCAGTAAAGGTTTGTGAGCTTCAGGCTTCCCTGGCTCACATGCTGAACATCATACCTGCACACTGTTTTATAACGGATTTATTTTGTCTTCTCAGCTCCTTCGGTTCAGCAAAGGTCACAAATTGAAGAGCTGCGGAAATTTGGAAAAGAATTCAGGGTAAGATTGTAGAGGCCCGTTTTTTTTTTTTTTTTTTTTTTTTTTTTTTACCTGTAGATAAATTTGAAAAAAATCTATTTTTTTTTTTTTTTACCAATGGTAACTCTAAAACATTACTCCCACTTTCATGATTATTTGCAAACATCATTATGGGTAATTTATTGATAATTTGGTAGTATAGCCGAAAAGTAAGTATTATTTAGCCTTCAAAAAATCAGCAGCATGTTTGGCGTAATGGACTTTGTTGTAAGGGAAAAAAAACCTGCAACATTTTTGGTGACTTGATATGTAGAATAAAATTATCTGTGACTGTAAAATCTAACCTAGCTGAATTAGAAATGGTAACAAATATTAAAATGAAAACTGGAAATCTACATTAGCCCAAAAAATCCTCATCAGTCCATCTCAAAAGAGGCATGTAAGTTTTTACTGAAAAATATATTTTAAAATAACCTTTTCTAATTTGACCGTTGAACTAAAACATAGTTTGAAGAGCAGACTGGCAGATCAGTAGTTCACCGCAGATGCAGGTTGTGGCCCATTTTCCCTTAATGTGCTTTGGGTTAGGAAGCGCGTCCATGTTAAATGGGTCTGACCCAGCAAACAATTGAAACATTATATTATTCAAGAAGGATTTTGTGGATACTCAGAAGTGACCAGCATCCATCTCAACCCAGACACTAACAGCAATTACACGTCTAAATAAAAAAAGAAAAAAGTCAAATATGAGAATGAGCCATAAAGTGCTGCAGTTATGTGCTTTGCCGCAGGTGTCAGCATCAATAGAAAATTCTAAAATGCCTTTTTATTATTTAGCTGCTTATTTGTAGCTGTTTTTAGTTAGTTGCTAGAAGTAGAGTGACTAATTTATCACATATGCAGTATTTATATTAGATTTTGTTTTAACCACATCAAACTGAATGAACTACAGCCCTACTTTTGTTGGTTGTGTGGACCGTGATTAATGACTCCTTTCTCATTGTTGTTTGGCAGTTTGAGTCTTATCCCCCAAACCCAGTTATCTAGATTTCATGATTATATTTGGTTTTCCTGTAATATGAAAATGTTTTGATAATTATTGCACTTTGAATCTAAATTTTGATTAAATAGGTTTAGGAAAAGTTGACTTGAGGGTTGTCGGATAAAGAAAAAAATCAAATGCTTAACTAAGCACCATACAAATTAAAGTCAACAAGTGAGTTCTTGTTAACACGCTAAATAATTAAAGTCAGATTTTAACTTTTTTTATTAACTGCTGACTGTTTTCCAGCTTCAGCCTAGTGGAGCCGGTTCCAGCTCTCCTAGCTCTCCAGCAGCAGCAACGCCTCCTGCTGTTGGTGAGGCGACCCAATCAGGTGCAGCTCAGTCTCCATCAGACGCCTCCTCAGAGCCCAAACTTCAGCCTCCAGCTCCCAGTCCTTCCCAACCTCAGCATTCAACGGCTCTCTCCGAAGAGCCCACCAAGGACGTTGCAAATCCACTGGGTGCTGCTGCTTCTGCCACAGCTCCCATTCCAGACCGGCAATCACCAGCAACTCCTCAGCCAGCCAGGACCCCAGGAGCAGAGGACGTCAGGTCTGAGTCCGCAGAGCACCCCGATGGTGTGGCAGAGTGAGTTTCAGCAAGTAAAAATCAAAATTTTTTGTCATTTTTCCCTACATTTTCATAGTTGATAACTGCAATTTTTTTTTCTCTCAGCCAAGTGAAGAAATCAACTTTAAATCCAAATGCTAAAGAATTTAACCCAATCAAAAATCCAGTGCCTGTGGTAAGCAAGTTTTTCCACTCTACCAATCATTTATTAGAGACAAAATTAGTTGCTGTTGTTGGTATTTTATTTGCTTTAAGTAAAGAACAACAAAGGGAATTTTTTTCTACCAATAAATCAGAGCGATGACGTTCGGTCCAGGTCTGCTTTGGTCGGCTTGTTAAATAAAATAGAAACTGGTCCGAGTAAGGAACCGTGATAAAGAGACAACAGGGCAATTATCAACAAACCCCATTATTGCACACAGGGGGCAAAAACTAGCTGGTTTTGTTCAACATCACCTTCGATTACTACACAAGTTCATCCTGGTTCTAATTGAAACTTGTAAGAATAAACAGTATATCAGTTTGTTGCATATGGGCTTCATAGACTAGTGTGGGTCCTTAAGACTCTGGAAAAAAACAAAGATTAACGTCAGAATTTGAGCCATAGCTTAATGGAACAATTTCACCTGATCTATTGAATCAAGGGACACATGGCATCATGATGCACCATGACGGGTAAAAAGGCTGTGCGACTGTTTTGGCAGTGTTCAGCGGGGAGGCATTGGGTCCTGCTGTTCATGTGGAGCAACCTTATGTGCTGAAGAGGAAAACAATGATCGAGCTGTTGGCTTGTACTCAATCAACCAGATCTCGGTCCCATGGCGCATATGTGACATGTGCTAGACAAAACCAATCAGATCCAACTTTCAGGACTAAAAGCTAACAAATTGCTAGCAGATTCTACAGCACATTCTCAGTGGTTTGCTGACGTATACGGCTCAACATATTGGAGCCTTTTCTGGCAGAAAAGGAAAGATCCACACTTTTAAGCAGATAGTTTTGATTCTGCAAATGATTTTATCAGTCTTTTAATTTGGGTTTTTAGAAACTTTATCCATATTCTACTGGAAGAAGTAGAAACATTACAATAAATAGCTCCCCTTTAATCCCTCAGGATTTACTTGGATTTATTTTCTTTACCATCTTTTTTATTTTTCTAAACTGAATTAGTCTAAAAGTTAATAGCTTGTTGGACATATTTTAAATGTAAAAGTTGTTTATCTGAACATTGGTTGTCATGCAGGCAAAACCCAACACTGCACCAACCCCTCCCCGTCCAACTCCTCCGAGCCCGGTGGTCCTGCAGCACCCCGGAGGGCAGGGTGCCATCTACAATACTCCCTACCTCTCCTACGTCTCTCAGATCCACCCTGTTCAGGTATGTGGACAAAGCCTAAACTAGAAGCACTTCAATGTATTACATTTGGTACTTTTATGAATGATTAAACCCAATTAGAGTTTATTTAAAGAGACCATTTACTATAGAACGTCCTTTTAAGTTTAATGGTAAGATTGGCAGCATTTCTGTTCTTGTTGAAATGTTTTTCTCTTTCAGGCTCAACCAATGTATCAATACACAATGTCGACAGTTAACCAAGGAAAATACCCCAGGGGCAAAGGTAAAGGTCTGCTTTTTATCTCTTCCCAATCTGTTTCATTTTCTCACCTGACAGGTTTTTTTTTTGTTGTTGTTGTTTTTCATGTCCAACTTTTAATTTAAAAATCTGTAAATTGTCAGATTTTCTTGTTGTTGACTTTCTGTCAGGTTAATCTCTCATTTCAACATTGTTCCCTCTCCAGTGCCTTCGAGGCCTGAGGCGTCACAGATGCTACAGGCTGCTGCATCAGCAGCTGGAGCTCCTTTGGTGGCGTCCCCTTACCCTCAGTCCTACCTGCAGTACAACCCACAGCAGTACAGCCAGCAGCAGGTCATCCAGGCCATGACTCCCTACCCTGGACAGGTACAGCTTTTATTCCCCTCAGTTATTCAGGCTTTTTATTGATTACCAGACTATTTGAGGTTACATTTTCTTTTCCCCGCTTCGCAGCCTATGTACTCCATGCTGCAGGGCGGAGCAAGGATGATAGGTCAAGGTAGTGGTCCCCATCCCCAAGCCCTCGGTCCCCCTGGAGGACCTCAGTTCTCTGCACAGGGAGACGGGCCTCAGGGGCCGCAGCAGGGCATCTACGGTGAGTGATGTTGGATTTTAAAGTCACAACACCTGAACGCAAGATGGTTGGTTACTCTGACATCATGGTTTTGTTTCCTGTGCAGCTCCACAGTCGTTCTCCCATCACTCTGGTGCAGTACATCAGCCGCAGCCTTCCAGTACCCCGACGGGCAACCAGCCCCCACCTCAGCATGCGGCACCCAGCCCTGGACAGGTATGATGCTGGTACTACCTGGCTGTAATGTGAATTCACATTTTTCCTTTAAATTTTCCACTTTTACTATCGATTCTATTAAAAACAACAATGAAAAATAAACTGATACCTGTGATTACCGAACAAATTATTCTTTAAAGCAGCATTTTCCTTCCTACTTCCTTGTTGTTTTAATATCTTATTTGTCTTCCATTTTCCCATCTTTTTTTCTTCTCTTTCAGTGTCATTTCTCCTTCTTTTCTCCAGCCTTTGGTTAAAAGAACTGCTATAAATTGCAGTAAAGTTTAGGGTTTGAAGTTTGGAGTTTTGACCTAAAAAATGTTGGAACTTTACATTGGATTGTGGTGTTAGTCCAAAAATACAGTAATACCCACATAAACGTAAAAATAAATGACCCAGCCATCTGATTTGATACATTTAACTTCAGACCTTCAACATAAATGCGTCCCATTTCATAAGGAGGAAGAACCGACTGTGATGCTGAAGTTCGCCTTATTAAGCAGTTTTTCTTTCTTCAACAAATCTTTGTCTTCGCAGAACGCCCAGTCAGGCCCACAGCCTCAGGCCTTGTACCACCCAACTCCGCTGTCGGCTCCCACACCACCCAACATGGCTCCAGGTCACACATCCCCACAGGGCTCCTACTCCATTCCAGGCTACAGCATCCACAGCCATCAGGGCCTCCCACCAGCTTACCAAACTCTGGGGCAGCTGACACAGGTAGGGCAACATGTTTCTACTTTCAACAGCTTCTTCTTTTTTTGTTGGATTTGAGGCATTTTAACTGGAGATGTTCTGATCTAAACTTTTGTTTGATCCTCATCAGGCCCATGTTCAAGGAGCGATGCCTGGTCCTCACCACTCAGGCGGCCATGGTCAGCCCCAGTTAGTAATGTTGCAGACTCCTCAGCAGGGTCCAGGTGGGGTGCCCCAGCACCCACAACATGGACCACAGCAAGGACCACACCAGCACTTTTACATAGGACCCCCTCAAGGTAGGAGCCGTCGTTCAAACACACTTGGAAGACTATTTCTATATTTTTAAAGACAAAACAGTTGAAGCTTGATAAACAGAACCCAGTTAGTCTTTCTAATGATTGTATAAACAAGCTGAGGACTCAGAATCTCAGATATTATTCCTTTATGAAAATGACTTTAGGGCTGAGTTAAGTTAGTCTTATTTCCTTAATGCAAACTTATTCTTTTTATTTATTTTTTCCTGGCTGTGATGCATCAGTGTCCAACACCAAGTTCTAAACAATTAAGTTTTACTTCTGTAGATGAAATTGGTCCAATTTATTTCATAAGGAGACTTAAGTTGTTGTGTGTTTTTGATTTAAACACTTGATCTATTTAACACTTTTCTATCAATAGATCTGCTTCATCCCTCAAAACACCAACATAAAAACACAAAAGAGCTAAGGGTCCATTTCAGTTAAACCTTTAGCTTGGAAGGTGATATAGAGATGATTAGTATTTGTGTAAAACCTTACAAGAGCATCCACTCCAGGGATTAGTTGTTTGTAACCTCATAGGAATTTACTGTATAACAATAACGAAGTTCTACTGTATGTTTCTAAGCATTAAAACAAAAAATCTGACATTTCAATTAGAGCAAAATAAATAATTTTTTTCCCAAAAAATAGTTATATTATGTTTATAGCATGCAGTTGAACAATTCAATTGTGCTACCTATTGTAACAAGGATCCCAAAGGAGCCTCTTCTGCAGTTGGCTATTTTTTATTTAATCTATTTTCCTTATGCGTTTTATTTTGTAAGCAGACGTTCGGCAGCCAGTCACAACCTCCAACACAGAATAGATAAAAAAGACTTTGGTGAAGCTCTCTAAGCTGTTGCATTATCTGTTTTTGTTCCTGCTTTTTCAGATTTTATAGTATTTACAAACCAGCTCTCTCCCTGGTGAAGCAAACACCTGATCCATCTTCTCCATGTACACATAAAGATAATAACATTTTAGGAACTATGTGAAGTCTATAAATAATGTTCCTATTATTACAGTCAACATTACTGATGAGCTGCTTAGGAAAGTAAACCAGAGATAAATGTTTAGAGTCTCCGTTCTTCTCCTCCACAGCGATGCAGGTACAGACACATCCTGCAACCTTCCATCCACCTGGAAACTAAACCCATCCTCTATGACTTCCTGAACTCCCATGCTCCTTCCTGCTGGACGTGTAGTCCGGCACAGAGCAACTGCAAACTGACAGAATCACAGAGGAGAGAAGACTCAAATCCTCACAGCACCTTTCTCTTCTGCTGTGGCGTTCATCAGTGAGACCCTCGGCCCCAGACTAAAGGGACGGTTTTATTAGTGGTGATGAGAGGACAGCAGCAGCGTCCTCCTGCTGCTGCTGAGCTCTTCCCTCCACCTTCTAACCTTTTGTATTTGTTTTCTTGGACATCATGTACCTTGCTGGGCGGACCAGTGAGAGAATCAGGAACAGATGGAAGGAAAACAGCAGCAGACCTTTTTCTCTTCCAGAAATGTTTTTAAGCCTTGTGAGGTTTTGTATTTAGGACAACGCAAACCGGAGACGGACTGACGTATAGAACTAAGAACCCAGTGTGACCGAGGAGGGAGGCGAGGACGTGAGGGGACTTTTAGCAAAACATTTTTTTTTAACTCTATCTAGTAGTAAAAATCTGCCCCTTTGCCCTTCTTCTCTCCTTTAGAAAATCTAATTAATAAAAAAATGGACTAGACAAAAAAAAGTAAAAAAAAACAATGACTAAAAAATAAAGTTCTCTACTCAACTACAGTTGTTTGTTTCTTTTTATTGCATAATTCATGGAGGAGAGGGTGTTCCTCCTTATATAAAAAAGCTTTTATTTTGCCTTAAAAAAAACCAAACATGTCACTCAAATGAGACGATAACGTCCAGTGGAGCTTTCTGTATCCACGCTGGCATTACATCACATTTATTCAGCTCTGCAGGTGAGATAACATGACCACTAGGGGGACCTCTTGAAACACCAGCCACACTGTCATCACCATGGGTCACCCTCACTCTGCCACACAAACAACCCTTTGGGTTTGGGGGCCAGACTGTCCCCTACAGGCAGATGTTAGGACACCGAATCAATGCACATGGCTCGTTCTGCTTCAGCCGGGCTTGTTTTCCCTCACTGCTGCTTCAGTGTGACAGGGCGTAGAGCTGCTCAGCACAGCGTTCCAGCCGCTCCCGGTACTCCAGGTTGCAGTAGTTTCCTATGGGGACCCCCTTGGTGCCGTGAAGAAGCCCCCAGCAACAGGCGGCGATCACTGCTGTGCTGTCACTGTCGCCTTAATCAGAAAAAGAATATTATTGGAATTAACTTTGTATGAAATGTCTTCTATGCAACTCAGTAACTTTAAACAATGTAGTGTTTGAACAAACCACTACATTGACTCCTCTATTCAAGATGTGTACAAAGGCCTTCATAATAAATATAGGCCTATTTTTAAGCCTGATACGGATACATCACACTGTTCTCTATTTAATGGATTGCTGATAGGCCGTTGGTAGAACACGTTGCTGTGAAGTCACCAGCCACCATAATGGTACTCCCTAGTTAGACTAGTTGGAATGTAAACAAGTGTGCTATAGCACTGAACGATGATCTAAATTTAAGGGGGGCTTAAGAATCAAAAGAAAGAAAGTCATCACTTTGACACAAACCAGCTGTTTCATAGCATCTGATTACTGTATTTATGGTAATAAACAGGCACATCACATTGCAAAATAGGTATGAGGTCTTAAGAATTCTATAAATCATGCATATAACATATCCAAATCCAAAATTAGCGTTAAAGCATAATACTGCAGTCAGATATTAAGAATATTACACACTGACGATGTGCCAAAAGTGCTAAATTGATGATGTACATGTGACATGCATGTAATGATTACATTGTTATAACTACATTAAAGGCATTTTTGTGACTCCAGTCTGTGGGAACAGGGAGTACCAAGGAGGTGGCAGGTGACTTCACAATTCCCATTCCTAAATATGTGTTCAAATTTTAAGTGCAAAGTGAGTTAATTATAGTGGCTGATTTTGGAGTGGAGAGAAAAGACCAAAGAACAATTGTAAGAAAGTGACAAGGAAAGGTGCTCGAAGAAGGAATGGATAGAGAAAAAGGAGACGTTTAGCTTGTTGGATAGGTTGTAAAGCTCAAATATAAGTGCTGAAAATTTAAACTAACTCACTGGCTGGCAACCCTTTTGTGCAGAGATGGAGATCAAAGATTAAAAAAAAACAAGAAAATGCTTCCACCTGAGCTGATAACTGGCTACGAGAAAACAGCTCCTCTCCAGGTGGATTTGGTGTGACACAAAATATGCATGTAAATATATAAACACTTCATGATAATTTTTTTCTAAAGATGGTGGTGGGGGATTCAGTTGTCACCAATGATTTTTATCGAGAGAAAAAAATAACTTCTGCAACATACGTAGGATATGAAACTACTTATTTCTGACGTCCCTTAAACCAGCTAAAACTGACTGGAGGTGACCCATCTGTTGGGAAATCAACAGCTTCAAACCCTAAATAAATGCTGACAATATTAAAAACAGAAACAAGGTTGTAGAAGCAGAAATTATGTGACTCAGAATTAAAGTCCAAACTTTCTAGCTGACCTCCATGGAAAGCAGCTCTCTTCATCAGCTCCTCCCAGTCCGAACCAGCAGCCAGCAACGCATCCAGCGCTATCATCGGAGCGTCATGGCCGCTACGCCCCGCCCACCCAGACAGACTGAAGCTCTTATAGGCCTCGTCCCGCTCTGCTGGACCGTAGGAGGAGGGCCAGAGTAAAGGTCCCACTCCCGTAGAGAGGCCCCTCATATCCAAGTACCTGAGGACAGAGGTAAGTTTACTGATGATGGAAAATTGAATAATGTGATTAACTTAAGTGCTGCAACAATGCAGGCAGGTATTTAATCAATTAGCTTTATCTGTAAATCAATTGGCTCCCAGAGGCTGCAGTTAAAAGCTCCTAGAAGCTTAAACAGGCTAAAAGAATCAGCTGAGGTAGCAAACTTAAATCAGACGATCGCATGACCTCACTTCTAGAAGAAAATAAATAAAAGGCTGATTTCAGCAGCTCATACCACTGCCATTTATCACAGAAATAGTTCCAGTCACGCTCCGTCTCCTCCACGGCGAACCCCCGACCCTGAACGATCATCCGTGCTGTGGGGACGGCCTCGTTGATCAGGCCCAGACCCCAGGTGGTCATCGGCCGGCGCTGGATGGCGTACGCTGCAAAGAGAGCCGACGCCACAGCCCCCAGGAAACCAGTGGGGTGAGGATGGGTCATCCTGCCCGTCTCCACGGCGGCAGCCACGAGGGACAACAGCTGGTCAGGCCTTGGATACCTGAAGTGGAAAAAAATAAAGATTTAAAGAAGATGAAAAAGAGGCTTTTGAAGAAACTCAAGGATGATTAGCAGCCGTTGGAAGTGGCCTTCTTTAACCTGATCTACGGCTTAAGTAGGAGAATCTGTTCACAGGTTACCAACCAGACATGTTCGCCACCAATAGTTATAGTAAACTGGCAGGAAGAAAGCCACTGCATAATGATATATATATGAAAAAAATTCCTATGTGTAATAAGTCATGTAGAAACTGCATCACAATGAACAGTGCCGACACACAGTAGAGGCAGTGTCATGCTGTGGGGATGTGTTTCTTTAACAGAGACTAGAGATTGACTGACAGAGAAAAACGAAGAACAATAATGGGACAATGTGTTTCAACTTCTAATAAGAGGATCACCAAAGTCTTCATCAGTACAAAAATACTTAAACTTTTATAGATGCGTTCGATATAGAGTGATACACCTCAAAAGGTTCTGTTTTATGTCCTAATTTTTAGACTCTAGGCTGGTTATAGCTGTTCTTTATGCATCTTTTACAACCAAACTTTTTTTCCTCCTCTTAATTTTTCAGTGATATAGTTGGATAATCCAGCTGAGGAGTTGCAGCTTACCACTCTATAGAGTTTCAATAAGCCTTCCCAATGATTTAGTTTCCCGTAACATGATATTATTCTATCAAGAATTTTGTTGATTTGTTTTTTTCTAAGTGAAAAAAATTTCAAATCATATTGAATTTGTAGCACAGAGTCCAAATAAGATATACTAGAGTTTTTGGTCATAAGAAACAATATTTTTGCAAGACATACTTTTCCCAGGAGGAGATTCTTACTTCAGCCCGATGCACATGGACCTCATTGCTGCTCCACAGCCGGTACCGTCTGGGTTATATGGCACTCTGTAACCCCCTTCTTCCCCAGGCTTCAGTTGAGAAACACCTTAAAGAGCACATCACAGCTGCACATCCATGTTTCCAAACAGCAGATGTGATATCATTTTACAGAGAAAACATACCCAGAATGCTTGAGGGCCCTGGTTTCCTCCCGTCCATGTCCTTCATGGCCTCCACGTAGCGAGCAGCCACCTCATGCAGGAGCTCCTCCCCTGCTTTCCCTGTCAGAACCAGGTCAATTTACTCCATCACTTAAATATACAACTATATACAACCTAAACTTTTTTTAAATGGCAAATCAATGAATAAATTACGAGATTCTACCTTTAGCTGAGGCTATTTCAATGGATGTGTTTTGATCTGATTAATCTAATTAAATGAGGCGATAATTAGAATAAAGAGCCTGTAAAGAGCCCATTGGTTTGACCTCACCTGTTGCAAGTCCTTCAGCAGTTGCCAGGTGTAAAACTGTGTCATCACTCACTGGCCAATCAGGAAGCTCAACCTTGATGTTCTGCAACCCACCAAGCTCCTCCAGTTCCTAGAGAGCCAGAAGGGGTGAGACATTTTGAACATAACAGCACTGCTTTTTTTTTTTTCTAGATCTGCACTGACCTGGTGAATAGCAGGTCCAGACTCATTATACTCCCACAGCTGGTTCCTGTAACCCAGAGCATCACCAGCTCCACTCAGCACCATGGCTGCTTTGTAATGCTCCAAAGTGGCAACTCTGTAGATACAAAGAGATGAAAAGCCCAAATAAAAAATACTTGTTAAATTAATACATGTTATGGCTTTAGCAACCATTGGAAAGATAACTTTACATTTGTTCAAAAAGTTATTACGATAACCCTTCATAAGCAGGGTGAACCACGAAAATAAATTGTAAAAAAAAAAGAAAAGATGGCTATTAATAGAGTAATGTATCAAACTATATGGAAAGTTTAGTGGAAGAAAAAAGTGTAGCTCAAACAAAATCGAAATTACTCTGTTCACATTCAAATAGTTTTTCCATCAAATTGTCCCATAGAGCATCCATCCATCCATCCATCCATCCATCCATCCATCCATCCATCCATCCATCCATCCATCCATCCATCCATCCTCTTCTGCTTATCCGGGGTCTGGTCGTGGGGGTCCCTCTCCCCAGCCATTTGGGCCAGCTCCTCCGGGGGATTCCCAAGGCGCTCCCAGGCCAGCCGAGAAACATAGTCCCTCCAGCGTGTCCTGGGTCTCCCCCTGGGCCTCCTCCCGGTGGGACGTGCCTGGAACACCTCACCAGGGAGACGTCCAGGAGCCATCCTAATCAGATACCCGAGCCACCTCAACTCGATGTGGAGGAGCAGCGGCTCTACTCCCATAGAGCAGTGATTCCCAGTCACTGATCTCTATTTATAATAGTACACTGTGCTGTGAAGTCACCAGCCGCCATATTGGTACTCCCTGATTAGACTGAATGTAAACAATGTTGTTTGATGCTACAGCATCAAACCACAATGATTTTCTCATTTTAAGACACAAAACCAAAAAAGATGATGATCTGAAGGTAATTATCAAAGCAACCTGATCTTCTTTTACATCTCAGCAGAGGCTGATTGTTTCCATGCAACACAGCAGTGATGCAGGATTTCATGCAAAAGGAGCAAAACTCAGGAAATCTCTTCATTGGGTCAAAAATCATCATTAAATAACTTAATTGCATGTTTGAAATATGTATTAATCAGTGAAATGAACATGAATACAAGAAATTTGGTAAATATTATTGTTTGACACAATTTCAAAAAACCAAATACATTTTTTTTCTGTTTAAGAAACACCTGTTTGTTTTTTAAGCAGAAATTTCCTAATTAGGTAAATGGGTAAGTGTGTGTTTATGCATATGTATGTTAAACAGTTTTATAGCCAAACAAAAGTGTTTTAGAATATAATAATATATTCAAAAAAAGGTTAACCAAAACAAATAAAACAATATTATTTAGAAACTTGGAATAAAATATCTGAGCTGATTAGACACTCATTTAAAAATGTTTTAAAAGGTCAGTTAGAGGGAGCTGGCCCTTCATGTTATATTTAGTTCTCGGACCATGGAGCGAATAAAAGCCTGTTGATGAACAGCTGAGGAAAGGAAATGAGCTAACTATGGTTATAAACACATATTTATGCGCTTGAAGCGCAGGTATCGCAAAGAAAGTCCACCATGCAGCAGCAGCAGCCTCACCGGTCCATTGCTGAGCGTCCTTCCCCGAAATCAGAGCCCAAGAGGCGGACACTCTGTTCTGTTCACACCGAGGCTGAGGCACTGCGGTCAGTCTATAAGAAACAAACGGTCAGTCAAGCTAGCAAAGCCCCCACGAGATTCTTCTGTTCATTTTTTTATGGCGCAGGAGTACTGAGTATTACGGTAAATTTCGTTTTCAAAATAAAAGTACGGATGCAGATGAACGCTAGAAAACTCTAATGTATTAGTTTGACATTTCTGTCTTATGAACACATAATGATTCTTCCTGAAGATGTTCAAATATATATATATATAT